TTCCCTGCTGAAGTCTAAGGAACTCCATCTCCTTTTGATCTCTCACAGCTGTCGGGAAAAATTTTTCTTCCACGAGTTCCTTAAACCTCTCCCAAGTTATAGCCTGTTCTTCAGTAGGTGTTAATGACCTAGTAGTCATGTCCCACCAATGGCTAGCCCCCTTCTTTAATATAAACACTGAAAATGTTACCCTTTCAGCATCGTCACATCTTATAAATTTAAAGATGCGTTCTAATTCTCGTAACCAATCCTCAACTGCTAAGGGATCCGTACTCCCCTCAAATGATGGAGGGTTCATTTTACGAAACTGCTCTATCATTGCAGTTCGATCCCTCGAGTTAGGTACTATTTGAGGTTGAATAATTGGTTGGTTAGGTTCCTGATGATCAACTGGTATTTGTTGATTTAAGGTTCGTTGCCCAGTCAAAGGTGGTGCCTGTTGTTGCTGTCCCAACTCCCGCATTACAGCAAGCAGTTCTCGTGCAAAGTTTGCAACATTAACTTCGCCATTGCTAGAACTAGCTTTAGCATTGCCGTGGTTGCGCTTTGGAGGCATTTCCTTTGAATAATAAAAAAAATATTCATCCAATTAGAATTACTTCAGAACGTAATACTAACTTTAGAAAGAAAATCCAAAGGCCAAGGCAACTTTCCTTCATATATATACATTATTATTTTTCACAAACAAGAAAAAACATGTTGAGGTATGGTACATACATTCAAAAGTAGAGGTACATATTACATCCTATCCTATTCCAAGAACAAAGATAGCTAGGTAAGATAGTGTCTAGTCTTTTGTTTCTTCTGGATCCTCATCGGGGTCTTCTTCTTGGTCTTCTTCTAATGTGCTTTGCTCCGAACTATCTAGTAATGGTACGGGAAAACTTTTCCCTAGAACTCTCGAAAAGCACTTAGCCAACGGTCCCTTAACTAGCTTAGATTTGGTAGCTCGCAAACTGGTATTCATGGATAAGGATATAGTCTTCTTAAAATTTCGCTGTAAATCACGGCTAGTCCCATAGCTCTCTCGAAGCAAATATGTAAGGTCCTCATACGAAAGGTCATCATCAGACCATAGCACAATCTCATTTATGACTGAGGCCCAAGGTTCTGGAACAGTTTCATATAACCTCTGTATCTTCACCTTATCCCTTAAACTATGGTGTATTTCCCATAACATCTCAATAATACAGTCTAGCAGATCCAAATGTTGTTCGAGACTATGGAGCGGATGCATACGATAATTATAGTAAAATGCCAATAAGATGTCCCGCTTCTTCGCAAAACCACAAGCTTCTGTCCTTGTGGGGGTTCGTACTATTCGTGCCATAACTAGGACAAACATTGATTATGTTACTCTACAAGGCTCTAATAAATATTTAGGTATAAGTGCTTATGACTTCATAATCTCTACCCTAACTTGATTCAAAATATTCCCATATCCAACCATAGGTATAACAGTCCATTACATAAGAAAACTCATGAATTTAAAAATAAATTTTACCTTGATCGTTGGTTGAAAGTCAGTTGTTAGCTTCTTCGATGATTAAGGATAGTAACTTTCTTTTAAAAGTCTACAGAAAAGTAAACCTTGCTCTGATACCAAGCTGTGACGCCCTGAACTTACGCTTCGAGGGTCACGTACTAAACATAATAGTTTCTGCCTTTGGTACATGTAAATACTCTTAAATAGAAGTATTACATGTTAGAAACTTATTTTTCAATTTGATAAAACAATTCTTATAAAATTTGATGGCCGGTAAAAGTGCATGCCAACATGAAATTATACATTACATATACGGCCTCGGCACTATCAAGGTTAGTCGGGGCAGCAAGTTTGACAATTTTTATAAAATTCATCCCAACTCCGTTTTACATGAAATTTGTGGAATTAGAAAGATAATTTCAAGTAGTTTTCTAGGTTGAAATATAAAAATTTTCCAAGATCATATGATATAGACGTTTTACTGAAAACAGTGAAGTATTACACAGGAAATTCAGATTGACCTTTGCACGTTAAAACCTTGATAACTCAGGCCATAGATATCCAAATTGAGTGATTCCTTCGGCCATATTTAGAAAACTCAAAGAGGAAAACAAACATATTTTTATAATTTCAAATGGACGTTTATAGAGTTAGAAACATCATTTTGAAATTGACTCCAGAAACTGTCCCGTTTAAGCCTTTGTCTCTTGCAAGGAAGATAAACTACAAAAATGTCTCTTAACATAACATGAAAGATATAATTACAAAATTTACTATTAATACCATAATACATCATGTCATGTTCATATTTTTACATAATACCATAAAAAAAATAGATGGAAAAACTGTCATCGAACAAAACGCACAAAAGAAAACTTTCGGTACAAAACTTCGTTGTCCTTAATCCATCATCGCGTAAGCCAACTAACTTCCATCAATTCAAATGATCATGAATCTGAAAATTTAGCGTAACATAAGAAATACTCAGTAAGATACCATGCTTGGATTTTTATCATGATAATACTCTTAAGCATGAAAGTATCTTACCGTAAAACTTGATGATCTTTGTTTGAAAAGTAAGTTGAAAGTGTTAAGCTCACTTCTTTTTCTTCCTTCCTTAAATTTCGATTTTTTGGCTCTCTTTTCAAATGTATAAGTGTTTTGTAGAAATGAAAGAAATCTCTTTCTCTATGGCATGGATAGGGATGTATTTATACTTGTATAAGAGGATAAGTATAAGAAGATATTTTTTATTTTTATTTGTTGTTATGGCCGACTTTGACCCCCCTTTTCTTTTTTTTTTTTTCTTTTTTTATACTTGTTCACTTGTTTAATCTATGATCCAAATGTATGGTGGTGATGGATAACAAGTGGGGTTGATTATAAATAATTAGTAGCCTAAAGACCTATATTTGCAAAGGAAATCTCTAATCTTCCAACTAATATAATCCAACCCTCTATCTTTCATTATTAGCAAATGTATCCCAAATCTAAACTTATATCCAACTTACATATCCAAAAATTGTAGATCGTAAATTAATTTAATCATTTGGTCAATTGAAGTCCTAACAAAATAATCGACCACATTCAATTTCAAACTTGACTTAAGTTTTGACTAACTAATAATCACTTCATGTATACGCAACATTTAACACCTCATGCTTGTAGTCATTAGCTATCTCTAACATTAACCACTACAAAAGTGGTGTCCTCTTTTCTTATGGCCAAAAATAGTATTGAAAGTTAAATCGCCATCTTAAAGAAATTTAAATCAGCATAAAATTTCGGAGTATTACATCTGCAAACCAATTTGACTTAATAAAGTATAACTTGATTGTCTACCTGGAATTTCCATCGTACAAATATTACCAAATTAGAAAATTTTTAACTCAAAACCCTAGAACCGCCATGTCTGGAGCTCTAAACTTCTCTTTTTCTCTATAGATGTTTTTCTGTGTCGGGAAGCAAGAATGTCTCTGTTTAGTAGTTTAATAATAATAATAATAGCTTTAGAAAAATACAATAATTTCAACCATATTTAGTGGGGATTAAAATCGAATATTTAATATATTTTAATAGAAGCAAGATGAAATGCATTATTAAAATGTTGATTTGAATTAAAATTTTGATTTAATTTCTAACAAACAAGAGCTTAATTAAAGATTTTGATTTTCGAAATAAAATTGTACATGCATTGTGAAATTGTAATCTCGGGTAGACTCGTCAATCACTTAACGTTAATTTTACGATTGTGCTATATGTACAACACAACTTACGAATTTGTTTACCAATATATATAGCGCCGATCTACTAAGCACCGTGCTTAGTTGGCAGTTCATTGAATATGGAAATATTTATTGTAATATATTAATGAAATAAAAAAAATCAATAAATCAACATAAAATGGAAACATAGATAAATATGGAAAAGTTCAAATCTCTCTCCATTTTATTTTTTTGCTGATACTCAAACGTAAGTTCCTTCCCCCCCCCCCCCCCCCCCCCCCCCCCTCCTCCTTTTTTTTTTTTTTTTTTTCCCCCCCCCCTCTTTGTATTTTATTATGTTACTTTACTACATCCATGACCTTTTTCCATTATTCTGCTATTGAGTTTTCTGGTGCATAATATCTATGGGTGTGGCTATCCGCATCAGTTTTGGAATCAGTTTTGAAATATTCAACAATTGGAATGTAAATTCTACTTCAATAATATTTAGACATATGTTAGATGGAAACGTGATTGGAAGTTCCATTAGATAGAATCATTATACAGAGTTCAGTTAGAGAATGAAAATGGCTTGCCATCATTCAATTTGATTTAGCATCGTAACACATTGTTCTACTCGCAAAAGAGGTATAAAATGGTGAATCAAGACATTTGAATGAACATTTAGAGCACAAATGCCCACCAGACATGACTCTATTCACTGTTTCACACATTAAAAAAAGCGGAATTACATAATAAACCTACAGTCTTAAATTGCTTAAAATAGAATAAATTCAAGCTGTAAACTTCTCATAGCCTTCATGTGAGAAATGGCTACAAAGATTGGTCAGAACACCTTGTAACTCTCAGATGGATTGTTGATGAGAACTTGTTCATCTAGGATTCTCAATGCTTCAAGCCACACCCCAAAACAGAATTTATAATTTTTCAACATTGCGGGTATAGACCTGCATCCAGAAAACAAAGATGCTTCCATATGTTAATGAATCAAAGGTAAATCAATCCACCTACATGAATGTTATCACAAATACAGCACATTGATAAGTTGTCACAAATGAAGATAAAATGACTTACATGAATTTTGTAAAATGAAATTGTAGGGAACTTCGTCATTTGGACCCAAAGGATCTAAAAAATAGTTGCATTAACTCATTAATAACGAAATTAGTAAATCCAAGCAAGGGTATGATAAAATAGAAAATACCTTTCGAGTAATTTTGGACAATTTCTCTTATCGTCTGATTGGCCACGAAGTCTATCTTTACTCATTGTTGTCTCTTTTCACTTTTTTAATCTTTTTCTGCACCTCTTTGCTCTTACTTGTTGTGGTTCATTGATATTTACACGCTCTTCAAAACTTGTTTGTCCGATGGATACATGTTCAATATCATTGCCGATGTTAATCTCCTTTATTTTTCTGTGAAGCTCTTCCAACACATTTACCAAGAGGTTAGCTCCTTCCTCGGTGAGAGATGCATCATCAACCACAATAGAAGAAATTGAGATAGTTTAGAATGTCTTAACATCAATAATTGGTTTGGAATTTCATTTAGTTCCTCATTATCTTTGTCCCACACTTTACCAATCTTTGCACTTTTGGTCCACCTTTGAAGAATATATTGAGTTGGCAATTGCAATATTTGTTTGACCCTAACGTACAACATATGTCTGCATGAAATTCCTTCACATTCAAGTTGTTGACAACTGTAATGTACAATATCTAAAAACTTATTGTGAATAAGTTTTCGAGATCTTGATGTAAAAGATTTATCAACCCTTTCAAGAATATAAGTCACACTTGATTCATCTTCACATAATGTATTTTAAATGTAAGCTTCACTTTCAAAAATCTCATCTTGAAAAGTTTGAAAAACTTTTCTTGTATAAACCTTCGACATTTGTGCCTCCATTGGCCACAAGGATTTCAATTTTGGTTTTTCATTAATGATTAATCATCAACTCTTGATGTCTTTGATGTCTAAGTGATATGTTAAAGCGTATAATTAAATCCATCAATGATTTTTCCTTTGAAATGTACCTTTTGAGAAATGAATGAGAACTTTCAGTTCTTTGGCTGCTCGACATTCCAGCTGCAAAAATATGCTTAACAAATGCAGGGACCATCTGGCACGCATTTCATATATTTGATGAAGCCAATCATTATCTATCAATTTAGTCGAGTGCAAAATATTTTTCTAATTGGTTTCAAACTCTTCAGTAGTCTCTAAATTTAAATAATATTCTTTATCAAATGGTAGTTGTCCCGATATATTATTATATTCAATTTTTCAGAAAACTTATTTTGAATATGCCATATACAATAGTAATGAAAAGTATGTGGAAGAACTTCGGCAATTGCTCTTGTCAATGCAAGATCCTGACCAGTGATGATCATTTGAGGTGCACCTTTAGGCATTGCAGTCAACCAACGTTGAATAACCACATAAATGACTCTATTGTCTCATCACTTAAAAACCCACATCCAAATATTATAGTTTGACAATGATGATTGACTCTAGTCAACGGAGCAAAAATCATCCAATATCTATTTGTGTTATACGTATTAAAGAAAATAACAACATCACCAAAAAAGTTATATGCTCGTCTCGAGCAAGAATCAGACCAAAAACATCTAATCAATCTTCCTTCATTGTCTCTATCATAATCAAAATAAAAGCCTAGATTTTTTTCCTCTCTAATGAAAATAGTTCAATCAATAACTCGGCATCAATTCCCTTCATTTCTTCTCTCAAATATCTTTCATAATTTCTGATGTCTCTCTCCGAATATCTAATATTTTGATGACCCCCGAATCCAATCTCCAGCAAACTTATTTGTTGACTCGTTGATACATTTTCTTTTGAGAATTGCTGTACTAATGCCTTTTTTGCATTTAAAACATGCTGGTGAGATCTTAATAAGTGAACTCTTGTAGGAGTTGTGAGTTCATGATTATAAGATTCCACAAAGCTACTAACAATCCAATTTACATATGATTTTGGTCTAACTATAGTTAACTTAGCCTTGTAACCACCCGAATGACTCGCATATGTCTTTCGCCTGATTGTTCAACCATGTGTTTAAACTTCTTAAGATATGTATTATCTGTCTCTCCTTCTTTATAGCAAACAAATTGTTTCAAAAAGACTTCATTCGTGCCTGGTCTCTTCTTACTATTAAACAATCTAGCACTAAATCCAACTTCTCTCGCGTATGTGACACGACCTATCCCGAATCAACCTATGGACCCAAAACGTGATGTGCGCCGATGGTAAATGCTGACTAGATGCCAGATCCACCACCAATGCTGACTATGAGTTACTACAAAATATGCGACAAAATCAAATATTTATAAAAACATAGTATAATGGGCTTGAAATAATTACTTCATATTTTACAAAAATGAATCATATCACTCAATATGTCACGTGGCTCTAACTCTTAAATCACTAAGCTCTTCAAGCTATCAACGATCAATATTACCTGTAAGAATAATTTTGGAAAAATATGAGTTGACAGCTCAGTGAGTGAAAGAGTTCAAAAATTATTATACTTTCTCCATTAAACATTTTTACCAAACATCAATTCATATCATTTAATATTCACATGATAGACTCATATCATTATAGCCAAAAAGTGAAACATTCTTATAACCTTGTAAATATCATCTCATAATCATGATATAGCCATCAGCTGATATCTATGTCATTAACTCATCAACTCACATGTGATCCACCAAAAATGTACCCTCTGACTAAAATTTGAAATTCATCCCTCGGGCCAAGCACTTTCGTCATGGGCCTTTGGCCTCTCTGTGAACGAAAGTCAGTCTCAAGACCTTTGGTAATCAATTCTAGAACACGACTAAGATCCCTCTATGAACTATATGTACACAATCAAGACCAACGTCGGGTTAAGACCCCTCTGTGTAGGATAGAACACGGCCAAGGCCCCTCTGTGAACTATATGTAACCGGTCAAGACCAATGTCGGGTCAAGACCCCTCTGTGTAGAATAGAACATGACCAAGACCCCTCTGTAAACTAAAAAAAGTATATAATCATGGGTAATTTTCTGGCTGATCTCAATATTACATATCTCACATGCCAAATCACAAATGTTCTATAAATAATCTTTGAGATTCTACATATATCATGATAAAAGAGATTTCCATAATAATAATATAATTGAACACATAATTACACATACTTTAATAATATAATTAATTTATAAATACTTTAAAAACATATACATATTTTTTCCACTCACCAAGTCATGGTCGATCATGGTTTCAATCTTCTCATCACTGCTTCAACTTCAAATATCAAGTATGACATCCCGTATTCGTCCCAAGAAATCATATCTCATCACTAAGGTACTTTAAACATATTTCCTACCATTAGAAATAATAATTTACTAATAAGAACTTGAAGTCTTTTGTTTTCAATGCAATCCCACAATCCCAATTAGGTTCACCTTTATATAATTTATTTTAACACCTAATCCCAAATATTTAATACTTAATTTGGTTTTCATACTAAAAAATACAAGAAAGTCGAAAGATTATCAATATTAGCACTATATTTTCAAAAATATAGAAATCTGGCACCATTTCCTGTTTATGAAAAACTGCCTCTAAAATATTTGACAAAAACAACACTTTCTGGGTAGAATTTCAAAGTAGCACCAGTGCATTACCTTGCTGGAAAATAGCCTAAAATTTCTTAATTAATAGAGAAATTAAACCTCAAATCATGTAGTCGTATTTCTTCTTTACTTCCAACTTCACAATTCCAATTAATATAATTAATATGCACATAGTTGTACCAACTTTATATAATCTCATTCCTTTCATCATTTTACTACTTCCCACACTTATATAAAATTATGTAAATAGGTAAGTCCCACTTCAATAATTTCAACCATTGTGTCCATACAAAAGCCATAATTAGCTTGCACCATTCCTCACCTGAATTGGTTCCTTTATTCAACTTTGAATCTTACACCCAATTACTTGCTGAATGTTTTCACCCACAAAGCTTAAACCCAAAAGTTAGTATAAATTTGATTCACATAACTAAAAAGCTTCCAAAAATAGTTATTCACACCAAAACATCAAGAAATTGGACTTATTTCCACTTATTGAGCCAAAATAAGAAATTTATGTTTGTGTAAAACTTAACCACTTGAGATTTTAGAAGAAATGAGGATCCCAATACTTGAAGAAGTGTATCCCGCCTCCTACACATAGTCGGCCGGCACCTCCTTTTTTTCTTTTTTCTTTTTCTCTCTCTCTTTTTCTCTTTTCTCCTTTTTCTTCCACCGGTTTTCTCTCTTTTGCTTCCTTTCTCAGCTTCTAGTTCTTTCCAAAACAAGAAAATGGATTACTTATCCTTTAAGTGGATAATTATTGTATAATTACAAGTCAAGTACCAAACTTCACATAAGGTAACATTTAGTCTTTTAATTATAATAATAAAACATTGAATCTCTAAATTTTTATTTGATATTATTTCTGACCATTTAAGTATGAGTAGTTACAAATTAGACCCCATAAAATTATTTACTTAATTTTAGTCCTCGTTTGACTTTGACTTTGACCAATAGAATTTTTTACTTTGACTATAATGAGTGAGATGTAACAATATGTGTTATAAAACTCATATACACCTTCAATTGTTTCAAACTCATGCCCAACTTTAGGCTTTAACTCCTCCGCAACTTGGATGTGAATGTTTGAATTGAAGTCTCATCATCTATGAAAATTAAGTTTAACCTATAAAGTAATGACAATTTAAATTACTGTTCATATGTTTAAAACAGTGGATATATAAGAAAATCTTGATTGACACTTTTCAGAAAACATTATTATTAATTTAGATTATCTATCCATTATAATCAGCCATGCAAACTGTCCAATAAATTAAACATATTAAACTACATTTTAAATTCTAGCAAATACCTATCATAAGCAAAGTTCTGCAATGGCTACATTTTAAACTACAGCCCAATAAATTATATCGACTTTCTGCAATTTCCAATAAAACTACATTTGGAAATAATTCGTAAAAACCCATGGAAAAGTTTTTCTGTTTCATACACTAATTGATATTTATATAAATATGGTAACAGCTTTTATGTGGGGAGAAAAAAGGAACGTTGTACCAATTTTTAATGTACACACCCAAAATCAAAATCAAAATAATAACTTACCCTTGAAAGATGAGATGAAGACCGTCGCAATCCACAATCGTGCAACAAACATGAAATTATTCTGCACTTTTTTTGAAGCCAAATTCCAGAGTAATTTAGACAAGAGAGGGGGAGACGAGAGGATGTCGTGAAGAGATGAGAAGAAGACGTGAAAAGGGGAGTGATGAGGTTGTTTTTCATTCTTCAACATGAAGAGATGAGAAGCAGAAATTATTGTTCCACTTTTTGGTTAGCATATTTATCTTTGTTTTCATTTTATGTTGATTTATTGATTTTTTTTATTTCATTAATACATTACAATAAATATTTCCATATTCAATGAACTGCCAACTAAGCACGATGCTTAGCATAGGCTAAGCACGGTGCTTAGTAGATTGGTGCTTTGTGTGTGTGTGTGTCCCCCACTTTCTTTCTAACACCTCACTTTCTTTCTGACACCTCATTAATATGTAAATGATGATGAAGATGAACTGGATTCCTATTGGACATTCATTCTATTCTTAATCCACTTCTTGCTTCTTGGGCCTTAAATTGTTTGATGTCTACTCGTTCTCCCATCTTCAATTCCTAATGAACAAAGAATCAAGTTGTACCATTATAGATTTAGGCAATTTGCAATGACCCCACTTGTTATGAATATTAAAGATAAGAAATACGAGCAACATGAAAATAATGAATCCCACAAGAACACAAGATTTACGTGAACCAAAATATGGGAAAACCACAGATAGAGATGGAGAATTCACTATGTAAAGAAGTATAAAAAGATCTTTCAAGACTCTCAACCTATCCTGAAATATGCAAGCCTTTCTTTTTATAACCTAAATCCTCTTACTTTGATGTTTTCTCAATTCTATACAATGTCTTACTATCATATCTCAAGGCTATATCATGTGGAATATATATAGGAAC